GTTTTCTGCTGGCCACCAGGTGCAATAATCACCAGCCATGGAGCATGGACCATCCATCCATCCAAGCCATACCATTCCATTCCCCGCCTCCTTAGCTCCTTCGTCGTGGAACAAGTTCTTCTCCTTTTTGTGTCCTTATTCGTTCCAAACCCATGCTGTTTATATCTATATGGATATCTCTTTATATATAAATATATATTCGTGTGTATGTGTGCCTGTGGGCAAGAGAAAGAGAGCATCCTGTCCTGTCCGTTCCACGCACAACAAGACGTAGAAATAACCAAAAAGTAACCCTCATATTTAGCAGACCGGAGATCTTGAGGGCAGCAACATAGCAACAACAACGCAGGAACAGGACGATGAGGAGTCGGATTCGGAATCAGGGTTCATTTCGGGCATATTGAATTTCGTCGCAGGCAAAGGCAAACGACGCAAAACAAAATACAAATAAAACGCAAGTGCAACAGGGTCCACCCTAGGGCTTCCGAACAGCTGTTATCGTTCTTGCGGAGATCAATGCGAATGAGTTATCGATAAAGACGGCGGACTTGAACAATCGGCGTAGTTGCTAGCGGGCGAGGGGAAAATGAAATATCAATGATTTCTAGGAATTAAATAACTTATCACGAATTTCAAAGCGTTTCAAAGTTTACAATTTTGGCGAGGCAAGATTTCTTAACAGTGATACATATATGATTTTAAGAAAAAGAATATATTATAAAACATTTAATTCGGTTTTACAAATATGTACTTCATTCCAAAGAGAACCATTTTATGTGTCAACCATCTTTGCATTTCCGTATAGCGCAAATTCTAGCTCCTAATTTTATTATGTCGCATAATTTCATCGATGTTATATGTACTCGTATCATCTTGGATCATCGTTTCATCACAAGCCATTTTCCTTTTCTGGGTAACCAGGGCCACATCCTTGGACATTTGTGTATCCCTCAAGTGTGTATCCTTGATTCACGGATTCCCGGCTACCTATTCCAACCAGTCAGCCCTCACCCGCCATCTTGGATGAGGCAATGGAAGGAAATGTGCGGATGCCTGGGCTGCTTCTCTGCGTGCCCTTGTTGGCTTCCTCTCCAATCCAATACAATCCAATCCCCAAGCCCTCCGCACCCCTCGGAATCCCTCTTTTATCGGCTTGTCATCTCGTCACGTCGCTTCATCTTCATCTTCATCGTCGTCGCATTTTTTGGCCAAGGGGAGAAAGTTGGTCCACCTGGGGACCAAGAGCCACAAAATCGAGACGCCGCTCAACTGCCTGCCCGCTGCTTCTGTTTGTTGTTGCTTTTGTTGTTGGAAATTCGATGCGGGCCGCAGGAGGAGCTCATCCAGCCAGTTAAAGAAGCAGCAGAAGAAGGCATAAAGCAGAAATATATCAACATCCCGCCAGGTAATCTGGTGTGCCCAAGGTGAAACCACTCGACGAAATTGTGTGCCCGGTTTTGGGTCTCCGCCGCTGACCGTTGTCCGCTTACCGCCAACCTCTGCTCTTTCTCCATAACCGTGCCCATATGCCCATGCCCATGCCCATACCCGAGCCCAAGCCCAAGCCCGAGCCCATACCCAAGTCCATGCCTATACCCATGCCCATGCCCATTCCCACTCCCATTCCCATACCCATATACCCATTCCCGTTTCCCGGTCTCTTTTGCCAGTGCCTTTGTTTCGTGTGCCTGTGGTGCTGTGTGCGTGTGTATGCCATGGCGAGCATGTGGTCCGCCTCCAGATAACGAGAACGGAGCAAGAGCAAGAGCCAGCACAGCCAGAGCCAGTGCCAGTGGAAGAGGAAGAGCCAAGAGCAACAGCAAGAGAAGCAGTCGAGCTAGCGACGATGACGACGATGACGCCAACTTTTAAATGTACATATACACCACCTCTGTCGGAGCCAACTGGCGTGCCATGGTGTGTGTGTGTCCATGTGGCCATGTTCCCGTATCTGTGTGAAGAGCAATTGCCATGAAATCGAATCGAAGCCCAGGGAAAAGAACAGAGAATCGCGGAGAACCGAGCACCATTGGACCCATCCATCCATCCATTGGGGGCACCAAGCAAACCAAGCGGATATGGCATATTGGGGATACACATACTAGATGGGATGCCGGGGGAATCCAGCGGAAAAACAGGAAAAGCAAGCATACAAGAGCCCATAGAAAGAATCAATAAACGAAGCTAGCGAAGCCGCAGTCCAAGTCCTCCTCCTGTTCCGCCTGTTCCGTCTCCGCCACTTCCATTTCCTTGCAAGGATGCGCGCGCGCAAAGAGAGAGCGGCGGTGGAGCAGAGAGCAACTGCTGCCCTCCAAGCGGAATTCCTTGAAAAAGGTACGCAGCAGGCAGCACAGCGCAAAATTATATGTAATTGGCCTGGGTTTTTGGGTTTTTGGTTTTTCGGTTTTCTGGCCTGGAATCTCTGAATCTCTGTGTGTCCGCCGCACACACACACACACCAACACACATACAGCCAGGGGCACACAAACGCAGCCAGGCACACAAATACCAAGGCGACAGCAACGGCGGCGGCGACGACGGCGCGCTCATCGGGCTTTATGCTTTGTGCTGGCCATTCGCAGCTGCTCTCGCCCGCTGGGAAGAGGCAATCGAGAAGCGGAGGAGGAGGAGGAGAAGGAAAAGCAGAAGGAGGAAACGGATGAACCGCAGGAGGAAGAAGAGGAGCAAGCGGAGCAGGCTGTAGATTTTTGGAAAGGAAGCAGGATCAGTTCTAACCTCAAAGCGGGAAGGCAATGGAAGGAATGGAATGGATGGAGGAGGAGTAGCAAAAGTGTAGAGTTCAAGTTTGATTATGAGCTAAAGATTGTGGTCGTGATTGGATTTCAGCCAGAATGGAGCTCCACTTCTGCTCCTCCTCCTCCTATACCCATTCTCTTCCATTCCCACTGCATCGTGACTTGGCAGTGGAAACATTGGAAACCCAAAAAGCGGACCATGCGGCTAGCCACACACCCATACCAAAGCAGAGGAGGAGGCGGAGTTTGGCTGGTTTTCGGTTCGTTCGCTTTTTTTCTGTTTTCTTGGTTTTTCGTTTTTGGATGTGGCCATCATCTTTGGTGCTTGCACAATCCCACTTCGATGGGTCTTGAACCCCGGGGCCCAATGCCCAATGCCCCATGGCCCATGGCTTCTCGACATCATCCGTAACCTCACTTTTCCGTTCTGTCCAGCGAACGGGTGTGGCCACTGCCTCATCCTTCCACTGGCCATTTGGGATCTGTGTGTATAACTGTTAATGGTGTCCAACCACCAGAGCACCGGAGTGCCAGAGCACCCAAGAGAGCATTCAGTGAGAGCGCCGGACTCGGACTCGGAATTGGATTCGGAGACCCGGGATGACGACACCGACGGCAGCAATGGCGGTGGCGATGGCGACAGCCGGATTATGTATATACCCGCAGCCGTGCCCGTGCCCATGCCCATGCCGACAACCCATACCCATACCTGTACCCATACCCATACCCATACCCATACCCATACCCACACCTATACCCATAGCCACTCACCTTGATGCCGACGCAGTTGTGGATCTTGGTGGACAGCGGCTCCTTGTCCGCCGCATAGCTATTGATGATCGAGATGCATTCGGTTTGTGGGGCGATGCATAGGCGACAGCAGTTTTGTCGCGCCGACCGTTCGCTGTTTCTCGCCGATGTTGTTGTTGCTGTTGTTGGAATGGCCGCTTCAGGGGACGTGGTTCCCGCTGACGCAGTGGCTACCGTTGTCGTTCCAGGCTGTGTCGCTGTGGCCTCCACTGTTACCGTTGCTGTTGTTGTTGCGACTGCTGCTGCTGATGTTGTTGTTGTTGTTGTTGTTGCCGCCGCAGCGTCGCACATTTTGTCGCTTTTGTATTCTTCGCCTCTCGCTCTCTTCTTTGCCGCTTGCTTCTACTTCTCGGTTGAATTTCTTTTTGGGTTTTGTTTTTTGCACGTTTTCACTTTTGTTTCGGTCTGCGTCCGTTCGCAATCGTTCCACACCATCCACTACTACAATATAGCTATATTATCCGCTCTCCGACGGAATCGACCACGCCGCTCGCGTCACCCACTTTTCGCACATTGTTCGCACTGGTTCTTTTACTTATTTTGTTGCCTCCAATGATCCTGTGCTGATTCGGAATTTGGAATTTCGCTTTCGGCTTTCCCTTATCTCCGCTTCGCTTTTGTTTGGAACGAGTGGAGGAGTCGCACTGGAAAAAAAATTAACGCCACACTGGACTGCGGATTGCGGTTGCGTATCTGCGACGTGCTCCGCCGGGCTGCAAAACGGTAAAACGGTTTCTGGCGATAAAAGTCGCTTTTGGCTAGAGATGGGCACGCCGAGCGATGCTTGGCGATACTATCGCTGTCGTTTGTGGCGGACACAGGCCTGGTCACTCTTGCCCATGTAAGGCGGTATTTCTTAGCGGCCGCGTGGCTGGTCACACTGGGAAATAGCCATCGAATAAGCCATTTTTCATCCGATTAATCGATATTTTTGACTTTTTCCTTCGCGGCAATAGCTTTTCAAAAAAAAAATATATATAAAAACCTCTACTTAAAAATTATACATAAATTACGTACAGTACGTTAAATGTCTATAGTTTTCTTTTGGAACGTTAAGTATTTTAGTATTTTCTTCTACCAACGAAATTCTGCACATGTTAATAGTTTTGACTTAATAGCTTAATTTAAAATTAATAAAGGGAAGTTTCAATACGGCAGATAGTTCAAAATTTTAATTTACCGCTTGTAGCTTAGAAAATATGAGGAACATACAAAAATCGATGCCATAAAATGAACTTCTCTTATAGATGTAATGATTAAATTATTTAATCAACGAATTGTTACCATCAACGTTGGCTCTTTAAAGTGCGAGTATTAAACTAATACTTAGTTAATGTAACTACGCGTTGCATATAACGAAACCTCTAAAGGTCAATAAAAATGTGACAAGACTGGCTACTCGATAACCATCGATACTCCGATTGGAAAGGGCACGCCTATCGATTATCGAATGAAAGTAACAACCTACCTGTTGTACCGCCCTGGCGGTATGTCAGTTCATAAATTCGCTTCGGCATTACAAAATACCCGCAGAGTGCCAACGTCGCGTTTTCAGATACTTAAAGTAATTAAAAGCATTATAATTTGTGGCGTTTTTTTTTGAGTATTTGTTTTCCCGAAACATGCGTGTTCTTATTGCTGTTAAACACTATTAACTGTATTGCAGACTTGTGAAATTGTAATTTTAAGACTCTGTTTATTTGTGTGCCTGTGTGTGTATCTACGGAGCAAAAAGACATAGACCGTACGACTGGTGGCGGGGTAACCTGCAATAGAAACATTCGTTTGGTATCTTTAGATACAACGATACAATTATATCTTGAAATGCAACTACTCACACATACACATACACACACACGAACGCACACCGGCACTGACACGTGTTGATGTGCTGCACTGGTGTGCGTTTTACCCATCTGTTGATTGCGACCTTGCTAGTAAATAATTACCATCTAATAAATTATGATACGCAATAGGAACCCACTTATGTATCTATGTATGTAGCGATGTGCACATGAGGCTCATTTGTATGCCAATCTTCTGACCTCTTGCTCTCTCATGTGCGCTGTTAAGAGGTTGTACTAAAATGATAACGATAAATTTCCCCGAATCTTGATCTTCGCAAAAGCATTTAAACGCACCTCAAATTTCAAGCCGTTATCTTAGAATTCACAGTGCAATAAACAGAACAAAAGAAAGATATCATGCTAGGTTTCTATGTACAACAATAACTGATGAAAGAAGGCTTTTCTAAAAAGTTGTATTTCGTGAATTTTCGAAATACCTGACTATGAATTCACAGGAATTCGCAGGAGACTTTTCGTCCGATCCATTTGTAAAAGCATGACTCAATTAGTATACATAGATACTTATGCATGCGCACGAGTAAACTTTATTGACGTGGGTTTGAGTTTAAGATGAATCATCTCGAAGTGAGTAAATTGTTCTGCTGCCTTGGAAACAGCCGGGCTTTTCCGGCGATAATGGACCGCAGAAATCGGCGAAGTCAATAAGGCCATTGTTCTGTTTATTTGCGCTGCGAGGTGCCATTGAAATCTTTTCCAAACATAGTTTCTTTGGCTTTTCGGTTGAATATTTAACCAAGTGGTAGACTTATATACCAATCCAGAATACATTGTTTATAAGTTGTTAATATCTATCAATTAAAAAGTTTTCAAGAAAGGCTTTACAAAAATCATTGCGCAAATATATTTATATACATATTCAGGCCTAGCACTTGTCTCCGTTCCCACAAAGTCAGGGGCGTCCCACTGAAGCAAAAAATTACAAATTACAAGTCGCACGCATGACCCGCAGCTATATTGCGCATACATTACATACATATGTACATATATGGGTAAAGGGAAAACCCAAAGTTTATATATGTAAGCAAGTTTATTGCGAGCCAGAAATGCGTGTACCATACATGTGGCGAAAGTCAACATTGGCGACATTTCATTGGAACCATTATAAGGTCTTTGGGGACGGCTTTTCGCAAAATTTGATTGCTTATTGGATTGTTTTATTGGGCAGGAACTTAATAAAATTTAATTTTCCATTGGATCGTATTTGCATATCTTAAAGACGCAGCATGGGGTAATTTATTTTTGTTGTAAGTCCCCACCCTAAACAAAACCGGATGTCCTTATCCTATAAATGACGTAAAGCCATGTCACTCTTAATTGCTTAAATTATAAGGCATACCCTGTAAAAATGCTCCTATCGACTGCAGCATTCCCCACTCCAACACTCTATAAGTCGAACCAATTTGATTGGATATCAAAATATACACACATACAATTAAGATCTATTTTAAGAAGAATTATTGTTTGGTTTGTCCATTAGCACGTTTTGTTGCGCAGTGTAATCTTATCGGTTCAGTTTCCGCTTGTACATTTTTGTGAACTCCATACCATATTGCTAAAAATATGTTCCCATGTGTATTATAGCCAAATAAGCGTGTTGATCATAACAACTGATTAAATATTAAAACTATACATTGAACATGTGCATGTTTGTAAATATTTTCAATTTAACGAAACGCATAATTCCTATTTTGCTCTTTTCCAGTACTGAATCTCAATCACCGGAAATTATCCACAGAATAGAATCTCCCTCAAAATGTATCCCTTCGTAAGTTTTGAATGCACATCCTGTAGATTTTAGTTATAAAAGCATCACCCATTATGTTAATGTGCTTTTTTTATTATTTCATTATATATTCACCATACTTTTTATAAACAACTTTTTGTATAACATACTTTTTGGTATAAAATTGTAATAATTTTTTCGGGTGAGATCGATTAACACATTTGGTTCAGTCTGATCCATTTTTCTAAGCGATAGATGCCATTTGTGTGAGCTCCGTGTTTAATCAGCTCCATGGAGTCATCTTGAATTGTACATTTTCTGACTTTTATAGGGTTCTGGAATGCCATCGCACCCCCCTACCTCTACTAACCACCACGAGCCACCTCGGGCGCCCTTTGGAGCTGGTTGGGAGCCACCGATGCAGCAGAACTCACCATACCCACCACCCTCCCAGCCACACCCACATCCGCACTCACAGCCAACGTCCCATATGCATCCTCAGCAGCATCATCAATATCCAGGCGGAGCTCCTGCTCCCTATCCACCCATGTCGGCACCGTACCCATCCGCCGTTCCATCCTATCCACCTTATCCCAACTCGAATCCATATCCGGCACAATACGCTCCTCCATCGCATACCCATTATCAGCAGCCACCGGTTGCGAACAGTCCCTATCCCACGAATCGTGGATACACACCGGCCATGACAGCCGGATATGATGCGGGCTATGGCTACGGAAACGGACAAGGACAAGGACAAGGACATGGACATGGACATGATCATGGGCATGGATATGCACATGGACAGGGATATGGGCATGGACAGGGGCATGGGAATGGTCAGGGGCACGCGCATCGGTCACTCCCAGCTCACAGAGAGGTTGGTCATCAAATATTGGCACTCAAGTCCACACCAATCGCATTCCCCCATCGGTAGAATTTGTTCCAGGGCGGGTTGAAAAATAACATGTTCATCATACCCATGAGATTTGAGCTCAATTTCAAAATGATATTTGCTGGTTTGTTCCAGGGAACTCCCACTGTGGTGCCTGCCGCAATCTTCGATGCCGTCAAGGATGCCCACGACTTGCGCAAGGCAATGAAGGGCTTTGGAACGGACGAGGACGCCCTGATCAACATCATCTGCCGGCGATCCAACGAGCAGCGCCAGGAGATCCAGCGCCAGTTCAAGACTCACTTCGGCAAGGACCTCATCGAGGACATCAAGTCGGAGACGAGCGGCAACTTTGAGAAGCTCCTCGTCGGCCTGCTGCGTCCCATCGTTGACTACTACTGCGCCGAGCTAAACGATGCCATGGCTGGCCTGGGCACCGACGAGGAGGTCCTCATCGAGATCCTCTGCACGCTGTCCAACATGGAGATCAATACGATCAAAAACCAGTACTTACGATGTGGGTTCATCATCCATTTGACTTATCCTCTTTCATTGTGCTAATGTGGACTTCGATTTGCCAATCTTGCGTAGTGTACGGCGCCCATTTGGAGTCCGAACTGAAGTCGGAGACGTCGGGCAACTTCAAGCGGCTGCTCACCTCGTTGTGCACGGCGGCGCGGGATGAAAGTGGTCGCGTGGATCTCGTGGCGGCCAAAAACGATGCCAGGGAGCTCCTGAAGGCCGGGGAACTGCGCGTCGGTACCGATGAGAGCATGTTCAACATGATCCTCTGCCAGAGGAACTACCAACAATTGAAACTGGTATGCTGCTTGATGCTTGAGCACTTGGGTACATAACTGACACCCCACTTAATGCTACCTTACTGCAGATATTCCAAGAGTACGAGGGCATGACTGGCCACTCGCTGGAGAAGGCCATCAAGAAGGAGTTCTCCGGCGATGTGATGGAGGGCCTGATTGCCATCTACAGGTGCGTCACCAACAAGGCCGAATACTTTGCCTCGCGCCTGCACAAGGCGATGGCCGGAATCGGCACCAATGACACCCAGTTGATCCGTGTCATCATCACGCGCAGCGAGGTAAGCACACCTATAAAGCATCATTCAAGTTCGACGGCTCTAGGATGTTCCAACGTTTTTCAGATCGACATGACGGACATTAAGGTGGCCTTCGAACGTCTGTACGGCAAGTCCCTCAAGAGCTGGATCAAGGTAAGGTGTATGCCATTCCACTACGAGTATCTACAATCACATAAACTTCCGCTTGCAGGGCGATACTTCGGGCCACTACAAGCACGCCCTCTACGCCCTGGTGGGTGAACAGCGCTCCTCTTAAGAATCTCCGCATATATATGTATTATTCAAACCAAATCCGACGTGAAATCAATTATTCGAATATGTATTATCTCCGCTATGTATTCGTTCATTACATGCATACAACATACACGCCAACGAAGCCAGACAATTATGAACCACAACATAGACTATAAGAGCTCACAAGTAATACCTGAACGGGATCAGACATTTGATACCTCCTTAAAGAAATGAACCTGGGAACCTACGGTGTTTTATTAAAAGACCTTTGTATTTAAGCGCGTGCGCAAAGACAATTATTATGGAAGTTCCTCTGGGAAGTCACTTGTTAATCGTTTGAAACGACTAGAGCAACGAACGACGAACGGAGTTTCTCATATCCTAGCAAGTGACCTCGGAAATGTTTGCAATAAAAGCTATGCTTTCTACCGACTTCGTCTCGACAGTGCCTCAATGTGACTATTGCCTTCTTCGAAAACAGCATTTAAAACTGCAATGACACACTAGAATATACACATATTGAACCGATGGATCGATTGTATTCACTTATACACTATATACACATACTCGTGTTTGTAAGCGGGTTTTTTAACTGCTAGTTCGCTCTCAATGTAATAAATTATGACATATGTATGTGGCAATCATTGATGGCATTTTTCCCTATCGATCCTGGGTGGGCATGCGATCCTGCATGGCTTTTATTTGAGAACGCGAACCTCGATGAACATGGAATCGTTGCGAAGATAGCTGCGACTGGTGATCACCTTGTGGGGTATATGGAAGTACTGGTTGCTCTGGATGAAGTCGTCGCTCTTCTTGCGCACAAAGATGGTCTTCACATAATCCTCGGCATCCGCCGCATTCGAGCACTGATCCCGGATGATGATCTCGGCCTGGAGGCGGCAGGGCCAGGCCAGCAGGGGATCGTACTCTCCGGATAGCACATTCAAGCAGGCGATCATATTCCTACCCTTCCAGGTGCCCTTGCCATTCAAGTAGATGTCCAGCTGGTGGGGGGTTCGATGTGCATGCATATAAATTCCATATAAATCGTGCATCCAGCCAAGATTCGACATCAACTCACCCGTAGAGCGTAGCCAAAGGCTTTATTGGAGAACATGGCGCTATGGAGAATGGTGTCGTACTGCTTGGACTCTTCCAGTTTTTTCGAGTAGTCCTTGATGCGCCAAATCAAGTGTCCTGCAAGGCGTGGCGTTAGATTCGAATCACTAGACTGGGCAGAAGGCAGAAACATACCCCTAATATTCTGGACACTGGCAATACGCTGCTGCATGGCCATCTGCGTCTCCAAGTCGGAGATATTCTGCAAGGTCTGATGCAGAGCTCTATCCAATTTGTCGCAACGTTCCTCCGTTTCGCAGACAATGTTCTTCACATTCTTCACCTCGTAGTCCAAGGTGGCCTGCTTCGAGGTCACATAGTCGCTGTTGCCTAGCTTTGTTTTGATGTCCTCGTTGATCTGCTGCAGGAACTCCTCGATCTGAAAGAACTTTTCCCTAGGGATTTGTTTTAGGACGATCACATGGTTCCACTTGACTAGCCCAGGAACTTACCGATTGAGCCTCTCGTTTTCAAAGATCAGCTCCTCCAGCTTCAGGATGTTGTCGTTCAGCTGGTTCTGGTGGCAGGTCACGTCCGCCGAGAGCTGGTTGACCAGCTTTTGGGCCTCATCCAGCCGGGACTGCACTTGCTCCTTCAACGACTACGATGCGGATGGGTAACACATATTAAAGTGTAGATACATCGACATCAAGCAGCACTAACGCACCTGTGTGATATCACAGCAGTACTGGACATCCAGCTGGTTCTGTTCGATGGCAAAGGCCTTGCGGCTGGTTTCCTGCTCCGTCTGGCAACGCAGATCGTCTATCGCCTTCTCGGTCTCGCGGGTCCAGTCCTCGACGACCTGGTTCTGCTTACGAATGTTGCCCACATCGGTAATGAGGTGCAGGCGCTGTCGTATCTCCTCGTTGAGCACGGACCGAATGGTGGCCACGTCCTGCTCGATGACCAGGAGACGCTGATCCGACTGGCGATCGAGGCGATCCAGGCGATCCAGGCGATCCATGCTGACACTCGTGCGCTGCTCGCTGCCCAGATGGTGCTGGTTGCGGGGACACTCCTTCAGATGGGATCGCATCCGGATGCGGGGGATGAAGGCCTGGCAGCCGTTGGGACACTCCTCCAGCACCTGGCCGCAGTGGATCAGGTGTTCCTGCAGTCGCATCCAAAGGGGAGTAATGTAATAGTAATCAAAGGTGTACTGAAAGGTTGGGCGATTATAACCGTGAATGTCTGGGCATCGAACCATTCGTTGCAGAAGAGGCACGAGGACTTCTCATACTTGACTATGGTCGTCGACTTGGGCTGACTGCCGTTCTGGTTCTGTTCAGCTAGCTCCTTCCTCGACGACGACTTGGTCAGAGACATTATTTGAATTGAAATTGAAATTGAATGGAAACTTTCGATCAGCGAATTCGCTGGTGCCGCGAGTTCCACCCTTTGCACACTAAACTCAGCCAAAAATGATTAACCACTGCCTTCGGCATAGTCATACGCGGCACACACGGACGTGGCTCAGATATAGCTCTGCACATGTGTTGGCATTAGGGCGTCCATGGAATCTACACGACAACCTCGAGTTGATAGCACTGCCATGGTGCGATTACCACTATTTCGAAATGCCAGCGCAACCGATTCCTATTGACCACTAACTTGGCACCACTCTGCGTCGACCAGGAAACACAGCCACCAAGGGTCCACTGAGATCGTGGCCGTCACCAGATCTGCCAGAGAATGCGACTATATGTGCCTATATATGTATATGTACCTGCAAGTGCTCATATCTCCCGTTGAGCAAACACATTCGGAATGCGAGGCAGATACCATTATCAATGAACACTTTTGGTCTTCCCCGGCCACCTGATAGCAATGTAATGGGCGGGAGTGGGCGTGGCAGTGGCTATGGTCGACCCAACAGCTGCCCTACGTGGATCGCCCTACTTAGGGCAGCCAAACTGGGCCAGCGGCCAAGCTGTGATAAGAATGGGGTTTCGTTTTATGCCAGTTTGGGTTAAAAGATATCAGCTCATCAGATTGGATGCAGTGGAGGACCGCTCGCATTTGGTGGGAACTAGACGCTTTTCCAAGTGTAATGGCACCCAGTGAGTCGCCGAGATAATGGTAAACATGTTATCAGCATAAAATATCGTATTCCTAGTTGATTGCGAGTGGGGGAGCATGCGATTTCAAGGTTCTGCTGTAGAAAATGGCTTTAAATCAACCGAGTTTCAGGCAAACTTTCAACAAAAATGTGTTTATCTAACAAAAAAAATGTATACATAGGGGGCAATAAATAAGTTATGGGTATAAAAACTATAGCCTATCGTCGATTACAAGTACGTGGACTCGAACTTCTCGCGCATCTGGAGTTTCCGCTGCTTTCCGGGGAAGATGCTGAAACTCCTGATCTTGAGCGCCCTCTGGAGCATGCGGATGGTGTAGTCGGGCACCAGGCAGGCCACAGAGGTCAGTGTGATCCACAGCCAGACCGGCAGTGAGGCCAGCAGATTGTTGTAGGCCCAGTAGATGTCGGTGTCGTAGTCCCTGGAATGCGACACATTACATTACATGGAACCATTACATGGAAATGGGAGCACTCACAGATTGATAACGTTGTAGATGACCGTGGTGACCACAAAGCCCAAAATGGAGATGATAATGGTGAATATGTACCAGAAGGACAGGTACATCGACTCCAGCCAGAGCTTCAGGTTCACGACAACCACCACCGTCCACATGAGGAGGGTGCCGAAGCAGGAGAAGGCCACCGTCTGTCCGTAGTTCAGGATCACGTTGTTGTAGTGGAAGAGGCAGAAGGCGAAGTAGAATATGATGACGCTGTGGTAGATGGCAAACAGGACCCACATGAGGAAGTACGGCCAGTGGAGCTGCTTGTTGTCCGTGTTCTTCTTGTACAGCTGCGGCGTTCTGTTCAAGTGGCACGGTTAGCGCGTCAATTTTATGGACTATTGCATAGAGGTTACCTCATCAACGTGTCCTCGGTGTACGGCTTCTCGGAGATGGCTATGAACAAGATGGGCAGCGAGGTGTATATCACATTGTACAAGGTGAGGAATAGCGAGTCGTAGACGGAGGAGGAGGAGAACAGCGTGTGGAACTGGAACAGGAACATGATGCCCATGAAGACGATGTTCTTGTAGAAGAAGTACAGCACCAGCAGCGACAGCCGGACACTGTGGTAGTGGCCATGGACGAGGAGCAGCCTCTTGAGCATGCAAAACTTGGCAAAGGCAAAGTCCGCACAACGCGCCGCCTGCCTGCCCTCGCGTCCCATGATGCCAATGCCCACGTGGGCCTCCTGGATCATCGACACATCGTTGGCGCCGTCGCCAATGGAGGCCGTGTTGTAGTTCTCGTTGGAGGACTTGATCAGCGACACCACTTCGCTCTTCTGCAGCGGACTAAGGCGGCAGCACAGCACCGCCGTGCACTTGACAGCCACATCCCGGAACTCCGAGCTGGCCTCGGACAAGGCCACGCCCAGGCTCTTGCCGTCAATGAGGAGGGCGCACTGCTGGCCAATGCCGAAGATGATCTCGCGGTCCAGGGCGTTCAGGTGCTGCAGCATCTCCTCCCTGTTCTTGCAGTCCATGATGAAGTACTTCTTGGCGTCGGGTGGAATGTGTCCGCAGGACAGGGCTATATTCAGGGCGGTCTCCACCTTATCGCCCGTTAGCACCCAGATCTTAATGCCAGCCGCCTGCAGGGACACCAGCGTATCGGCCACGTCGTCCTGCAGCGCATCCTCCACAGCGGTCGCACCGAGCAAATCCAGATCTGTGCACAGAAATGAATATCCATCGCCTTATCAGGAATGCCACTCATACTCACTGCTCTCAATCTTTGCATAGCACTGCTCGCTGAGCTGCTTCCGGTTCTCGAGGGAGCTGTTGGCCTGTGCCAGCTCCGCGAGGAAGTCCTGGTACTCCTGCTCGGTGATCAGCCGCCTGGCGATAGCCAGTGTGCGCAATCCCAGTCGGGCGAAGTCACTAATGTGCGCGTCCGTCTTTGAGACCAGATCGGCCGAGCTGTTGGCGCAGAGTGGGAAGACATAGCTCTCGGCGCCCTTGGTGTAGATCCACTTGCTGCCCTCCGCATCCCGGACAATCACGCTCATGCGCTTGCGGTCCGACGTGAACTCCAGGACATGGAGGCGCTGGAAGGTCTCTTCCCTGGGCTTGGCGAACGGCCGCTTGTAGTCCATGTGGGGCGGGACAATGCGCACGCGGAGTGTTTCGTCGTCGTCTCCGGTGTAGACCATGCCCAAGTTGGCACACGCCTCCACCAAGGCCTTCTCGTCCGGACTGGAGGCCTGGTAGTCCAAGGTGCTGTGGAAAGGGATGTGAAATCAAAGCAGCTGGCAGCTGGTCCCACAATTAAGTCACGTACAATATGAAGTCGCGGATTTCGTTCTTCCGGCGCTGAGACTCAGCCCGCACCAGGATGGTGGGCTGTCGGGTGAAGGTGGGCGCGGCATAGGATTCCCGGGAGGTGGTGCTCGGGGAGCGAAAGAGCACGCTGGCCGGCGGGGTGCTGGTGGAAACCGGGCTCGTGAGGTAGGCATTGGGTGCGCCATAGGAGTGGGCCCTTCGGTGACCCGGCGCCGGAGCATTGGGCGCCTCCCAGGACTGTTGCAGATCCTTCTCTGAGGTAGATCGTCGGAATTGCAGCGAGATGGGCCGGAAGTTGGGTGCCGCCTCCACGCCGTTGGTGGCCCCATTGGGATCAGTCTGGTTGACAGTGGTCAGCTCGCTGGCGGCACCACTGTGCATCCGATTGGAGCGCGCAAAGTTGGGACTCCGCTTGACCACCACCGGACGCCTGCGAGGCTCCACGTCATAGCCGTCGTCGGAGACCAACAGTGGATTGACATCGGATGAAATGGTCGTGGAACTGGCCCCATTGGGATGCGCCGACACCGAGTTGTCGATGGTGTGGCTCACATTCAGCTCGCTCTGCTGACTAGCATTGTGGCTCTCCTCGGTGATGTCCGGAATGGAGTACATCTGCGACGGACCCGACTTGGTGGCCGTCACTGGCTCCCGTTTGGCAGAGCCCGCATCCGCCTGCTCCAGCGATCCGGAGGCCACCTGCACCGTGTGGCATATGGACAGGGCCTGGAAAAAGACGCGCTGACTGGCCTGCAAGGACCAAGACATTTAGTGGCATTTAATATACTTGTATAGCGTTAGAAGAGACTCACGGAGAACTTATTGATGTCGATGAGCGCCTTGGTCTCCTCATCCTCCAGCCGCGTCTTCTTAAAGAGAAACTTGCTGCCACTTATCGAGCACTGCTGGAAGTTCATCTCGTTCTTGGTCAGCGTGCCCGTCTTGTCCGAGAAGAGTATGTTGATCTGGCCCAGCTCCTCGTTCAGATTGGAGGTGTTGACCACGCAGGGCTGATCGGTCTCAGGCTCGTAAAGCTCGAGGTCCCACTCCATGAACCAGCTGCCGATGACGCGCTGCAGCTCGATGGTCACGTAGAGGGAGATGGGTATCAGGTAGTTGAACAGGATCAGGAAGGACAGGTAGTCCTGCAGGAACTGCTTCACACTGTAGCTGTCCGTCGCGTCGCCCAGATAGGTCAGCTTGGGTATCACAAACAGTTCGTTGTACCTGCGAATCGAATGAATTGGATGAACCCAGGAGGAGGATGCAGCCCAGGATGAACGCACCTCTTGAGGAAGTAGAGCAGCGTGACGATGGCGATCAGGGCGACCAGGATGACGATCAGAAAGCGGTTGATGTACGTCTCGCTGGAGGCGTTCTTGTTCCGGGTGAGCCGGCTGTTCAGCTGCAGCTTGGAGATCATGCCCGTGTAGACGGCGCAGCCGATGACGCACTCCGTGTTCTTCACCCGCGATCCGCGGAGCAGGACATTCTCGGCGGACAGCGGGAGCACCCGCCCCTCGCCGCCCTTCAGCTCGATCTTGCCATTGAAGCTGTACAGGTCGGTGGTGGGAGTCTCGCACTCGATCATGCCCAGCTTGTGCATCTCCGGCAGGTCGACGGTGGGCAGGTCACGCGGCACCATCAGCGTCTTCAGGTTGGACTCCCCGTCCAGGTTCGCCGTGGTGATGAAGCACTTGCCGTGCGGATCGGTGGACCGCAGCAGCACGAGATCGCACGGCACATCGCAGTCCCGCTCCACGACGATCAGCTCTCCGGGAATGACGTCCTGCGACTTGATGATCGCCTCCTTGCCATCCCGGATGACAGTGACTAAAGTGTTAAAGGATTAAAAATGAAGCCCTTGTTTAAATCGAATCGGATTTGTAGCAGTTTGTTTTCCACCCACCTGGCGAGGAATTGACCACATTATCGGTTCTATACCGCAGGATATCTTCATATCCTTGCTTGGCAGCGGTCACCGCGATTACAAATACCAGGGGCAAAAGTGAGGTCATCGGCGAGACTGGACTATCTGAGAATGAAAGAAAGTAAATACGATATACTCGTTACGAAGGAGTAATAAATTACGAAACTATATTTACCAATCAAGAGCGATATAATTGTCATAACCAGGAAGTAGAAATTCGCAATGCGGCGGAATTGCTCCAATAGATTTTGTGGCAGGAATGTGATGAGTGTGTATTTGGTGGACTTGATGCGATTCTGGCCCTTTTGTCTTTTCCTCTTGGCGTCCTGGGGGCCACCGATTTGTATTTGCAGACAATCATTTCCTGTACTAACTCTGGAGCCCTAGAAGGTAGATAATCGATAA